GCCCAATCAAGGCTTTGTTTCTTTTATTTCTGCCCAATCTCGTAACACACAAATACAATCACGCATGCAAACCTTCTCTTTCTCTCTTCTCTCTTCTAGACTCTTCTCCCTTGTCCGTACAATCCAAGCCTTCAACGCTCAAACATCATCCAAACTTCATTGATCGAGCTTGAGCTTTGTACCAACGTGTTTCTAGTGACTTCACGAACCCATCCATACCATTGGATCAAAGAACGGATCACGGGAACCCGAGAACCTAAGAGCACCATGCTCTGTCATGATCGTGGTTATTTCACGGAGTTTTAAAGCTTAAGGGAGTCTTAAAACTACTCCATAGAGACCTGGGAACAATTTTTGGAAGGTTTTGGACGTCGGGATAGGCTGGTTCCTCGAGTTGCAGGTTGACAAGATATATTCCGACTATATTTCGTCAGTTTTAGAACCTCTGAGAGGTAAGATCATGTACTACTTGTTCAGGGCTTCAAATTGATATAAAGCTTGTGAAATTTGGTTGAAAAACGAGAAGATATTAAGGTTTAAAGATTTTTCCAGAATCTAGTGACACAGCAGCGGCCGGCAATGGATCCCGACGAAACACCGGAGAAGAAATGAGCATATTCCGTCAACTTTGACGGAATATACTAACGGCGTTAGGTGTATTTAACAGAATATTCTATTATTTAGCAGAATATTCTCTAAAGGCGTTAATGGTTCCATCCAACGTGTCAGGCACGTGCTTGAGCATGGCCGGTGCGTGAGGGCGCGTGTGTCATTGGAAAATTATTCTAAAAATATAGGGGTTACGACCTAGCTACATACCAGTGAGTGGGTTTTTGGTTTTCTATATATATGTATATATGCTTTTCATTTTCCTAGAATTTGATTTAAATGGATTTACGTTTTTTTTTTTAAATTCCATGTCAATTACATTACATTCTAGTTTGTGCATTAATATTAATATGCATATCATTGCTTGATGCCTCGGATGCCCAGGTAAGCTGCAAGTGAGTATGTAATGTTGATAATGATTGTAGTGTGTATGATTGTGTTGAGATATATTTAGTGCTCATTATCCTACACCTCTGTGTTAGTGCTCCGCCCGAGGCCAGGGCCTAGCCTTCACGTGATCGTTCACCTCCCGCACCACACGCTCACCTTGAATCCAAGGTAGGTGCCAGCCTGTCGTACAGACCACACTAAGTGGTTTTAACTCGTAGGTGACTTGCGATATTTCGCACAGCCTTCACGTGATCGTAGCACTAGAGTGTATATATTACACCTAGCATATCGTACAGACCACATTAGGTGGTTCCGACTCGTGTGCAAGATTTGATTGATGAGCTATAAACTCAGTTGTATAGGTCACATTAGGTGACTCCGGCTGGCATCTCATTTTATGTTGATTCATTTCACCTGGCTTACTTATTTCATTGCTGAGATGGTTGACATGGCATATGCTTGGTTTTCACTCCTCTCGAGCATGATTGCTGAGATGGTTGACATGGCATACGTTTGGTTTTCACTCCTCTCGAGCATGATTCCTATATACATATGAATTACTATTTATGGGAAATTATATGGTTTTTACGGTGAGGGGTTATATGTTTTGAAAGTGAAATGGTTTTGAAAAGCTTTATTTTTGCCTATTCACATTTTCTATTTTGTGCCCTTCCAGGTTCTAGATAGAAGTTCGTGTTGGTGACTCATGAGGACGCTGCGGTGGTTCTGACAGACATCCATCAATGTAGGGTTTTCTTTCATATCCTATATAATTAGTATTTAGCCTGCTGGACTGCACCTTGGTACCTACACTCTGATTATGTGTATCTACACTCCAATACTTCCACTTGTACTTATATACTAGTCTAGTGTAAGTTAGTTAGTTTGGTTTTTATTTACCCGCATTATCTCATTACCTTCACTTCCGCACGATGCACATGGCTACGTCATCCTCACGTGACGGCCAGCATGCCTCAATTTAGGTCGGGGTGTGTCAACATGTGAGATTTGTGAATGCTCAAATACACTACAAAATCTCTCCACTTCCCTCAAATTTCTAAACTTTTAAAATTCTTTAAAATGAACTCCTAATTAAATACACCTGGAATGTTATAAATTCTTTAAAATCCTAATTGAATACATCTGAATTTCTAAGGATTTTAATAAACTATCTTAAAATCCTAATTGAGTACACTTTAAATTTCAGAGAATTACTCTAATGTTTGAATTACAAGCCACTTAATACTAGAGTCTACTGGTATTCCTCTTCACTTGTAAGTGAGAGGTCTTAGGAATTCTTGCCAAAGGCGAAATTGAACCAAATTATTATGGCTAACACATATCTTGCCCCTTGCAAATAATGTATTTCACTACATAAACTTCATAATCACAACCACTCAATTTCTTAATCTTTATTTGAAGATCGCCTCTATCCAAAAATCGTTTGGATCGAAGATTATTTGGTCATCCAAATGTATGGACTAAATGAGCGGTTTATCATGAATATGTTATTTGGTACTCATATTGTCGATTTATTCCGTACATTTGGATGCATAAATAATCTTGAATTCAAATGACTTTTTTTAGGAACCTTCAAATGAAGATTAAGAAATCAAACATTTTCGATTAGTGAATTTATATGGTGAAAATATTTATTCACAACTGGGTAAAATATGTGCATTCTCCCAGAAAGGGATGCAAGTATTATCATATAGTTAATAACACAAATGACATTGATATTACTGTAACAAAATTAGTGTTTACATTGTAGACATCCTATTACACTGTTAAAATAAGTTGTTACGTGCCGAGGTAAGTGCATTATAAAATTGGGAAATTTTGAAATAGGTTCAATTTTATAGGCCTATTTTTAAAATAGGTTCAATTTTATAGGCCTACTTTTGAAATAGGTCTAATTTTTAGTGATTTTTTACTTTTGAAATATATCCAATTTTTAGTTACTTTGAACCCATATCAAAATACCCCATAAAAATTATCATTCGAAGAAAAGGGTACCCATACTCTTTATTTATTTTACGGGTGCCGTAGACTAACCCACAAGAGATTAGCTTTCAAAATGTCAAAACACCTAACTATAACTCTTACCAACCTCGTTCTCCAAAAAATAAAAATAAAAATAAAAAAATCTCACCAACCTCCATGTCTATCTTTGTCAATTGCGTGACATGATAACAATTAACAAAGCATGTATTACCACCAAAAGAGGATTAAGGCATAGATTTCATTCTTCTAACTAAATCTTCTACCCATTATGCAGTTCAAATCTGCATTTAGCGAGAATTTTTTTGTTCTCAATAATATAGTTCAAATCTGCATTTGCCGAGAATCGAATCTAAAACCTCTTAATTACAAGTAAAGATGAATATCACTAGATCGTAGTACTAAGTGGCTATATGACATCCTAGGTTACACTATACACACCACAAGCGCCCAATCCAACCAAGAAACTTCAAGGCCTTAAATTATTATATTATAGGGAATAGATCCGTGACACCGTATTTTTTTACACGGATTTTAAACCATCACATCATCCCCTATCAATAGTTGAGATTTAACCTAATATGACAATTAATTTGACTTTTTAGAAATAAAACATACATTGGAAATAAAAACATGAAACCTTTTTTAATTATGACTCTGATTTTCTCTCCTAATCCCATTAACTTTCCTCTTTTTTTTTTCCCTGTTCTTTTCTCTTGGTCCTCACCAACAATCTCTTCTGTTCTCTATTTTATTGAAAGTTAACCCCAGCTTTAAGTTCATACTTCATGCAGTGCTGACAAAAAAAACTTACATCTCTCTTCTCTATCCATCCTCACTTGAGATAATTTTTTGGTTCTGCTAATCCATTTTTTAAAGATGAAATTGTAGCAATGGCACCTCAATTTTAACCCAATTGGAGTAATGGTCACTTAACTAAAAATCTATGACTGTTGATCCCTTAACTCGTCAAAACGTGCAGTTATATTCTTTTTCATTAACTTTGTTAGAACTTCTGTCAAAATGAGTCACGTGCCACGCACGTGAGGCTGAATCAAGGGGCAAACGCAAAACAATCTTATGGAGTTCACATGTGGGGTTTGTAGCAATTAAAATCCCAGATTCCAGTAATCCAATAAGCTAATCAAAGTTCAAAAACAAAAAAATTGTGCAGACTTGCATTATCCAACAAACTGTTCATGCATGACACATGTATATAAACAGAGAGTCGATTTAATAAGAAATTGAAATCAGGACTGGTGCTTCGCTGCCCATCGTGCAATATGGCTTCGTGATTTCGACTCTTCATTTTTGTGAGTCTAGTTTTAGTATCATCCCTGCAGTATAATAACCAAATCGAAAATCATTCGTAAAGTTCATGTCACGTCGTAGTGTTTTATTGAAAGGCTGTATCACTTGATTGTAATCATTGTTTGTGATCATTCAACAAGGACCTAAAAGGTAGACACATAATGAGACCACATTACTAGGTTAACCCCAGAAAACAATGAAAGATCAACCACAAATGGACGAAGTTCTTACCAAGAATTTGGTGGGGGGGGGAGAGAGAGAGAGAGAGAGAGAGAGAGAGAGAGAGAGGAGAGGGGAATACCTGGTAGGATGGTATTGGAAAAATGAACCAAGATACAGACCAAACTTAAGTCAACCGAATGCTAAAGCTCAGACAAATAAAAATAACGCCATACACACAGTCCTGCATTTTCTATTGAATCGGACCAACTATCCAGTCCAAGGTAATGCCATGGACAGGACAGCCTACCCCCACCCTTTAATATTTCCATCAAATGTGCCAAGATTGCATCGTATGAGCAATTTCAGTCATCGTTTTCTGCTTTTATTATGTTACTTGATTATTACGGTACATTCTTTCCTAAGAGTACGTCTATTTTTCTATGTCGTGTGAGCACGTGTGCGAGAGAGAGAGAGAGAGAGAGAGAGAGAGAGAGAGAGGCTATACTTATGAAATCACACAGTACTCATGTCTGGAGGAAAAACCCATAAATGGTGATGGGAATGCAAAAGAGAGCGAATAGCCCTTTTGCAACGGTTTATATATTACTCATATAAAACCTACATCAAAGGCAAAAACCACTGGGTCTGGGTGCATGTTACTGTGTCTACAAAAGGAATAAACAGAGACTAACCGACACTTTCGGTACTAGAGCTAAAATCATGCACTTTTGAGCTTGCCCATCAATCACTACCTGTCATCTCTATACACACTTTAGTCTAACTGACGTCAAGTGATCTTGCAGTCTCTGCACCCTTGCCCAATTCCATCAGTTCTTTGAAGCATTCCCTACCAGAAGGTTCAATATCAACTTTGGGACTCTCTCCCTCGGATAAGGTCATAGTCTCCGGTGTGAGCTGTGCGGAGTCAATATCAGCCTTCATACTGGCGTCCAATTCACCAGCAGATATTTGGCCATTATCCTTCAATCCGTCATTTTCCTTGGCTTGATCCCGCTCACATTCATCAATAACCTTATGCTCGCCGACTGATGCAGAGTCAACACCAGTCTTCATATCAGCCTGCACTTCACCAGCAGACGTTTGGTCATTTTCCTTGGCTTGCTCGCCTTCACATTCATCAATACCAGTCTTCATATTTGCCTCCAATTCACCAGCAGATATTTGGCCATTATCCTTGGCTTGATTATCCTCACTTTCATCAATAACTTTACGCTCACCTACTGTGCAAGAGCCAATACCAGTCTTCATATCCGCCTCCAGTTTATCAGCAGATATTTGGCCATCATCCTTCAATATGTCATTTTCCTTGGCTTGATCACCATCACGTTCATCAATAACTTTACGCTCACCTAGTACAAAACAGTCCGCAGATTTACTTTCAGCTGAGACTCCACGTCTAGATATCCTTCAAAATTCAAATGAAGTTTCAGTTAGGGACCAAAAGAAAATAACAGTGACAAACTGAAAGCAACCACCCTCTCCACAAGCTTGTTAATTGGATGCTCATGTGGCAAGGGCAGGTCCAAGAGTAGGTGAAAGAGGAAGAAAGTACACAAACCAACCTTTTTGAGGACAGACCAGCATGCGTTCGTTTTGATCGTTCTGATTTTGGTTTCCGTTTTCTCTTTTGTGGTAGTCTGATCAAGATGCACAACCGAATCATTAATAAGATCAGAGAGACATGTACATGGAAGCAGCCACAGTGTGGTAGGCGAAGCAAATACGATATCAACCATTCAGTGTGAAGAAAGACTTATGAGCAATATATACTATACTATGCACAAAAACTTTTGACTGTATTGAATTAAAGTTGTGGTTAATTTTTTTTCCATTGCTAGGGTACTTTTGAAGGCCTATTGCATCGATCCCTTGGTTTGAAAACTCTACTCTGTAAGTAATATGAAATTGCATCTGTATTATTAGGTTAACCACTAAAAGAAGAAGCAAAACTTATATGAAAAAAAAAATTATTGTGAAAATACGTTTCAAAATTCTTATTAAGGGAGCTCATTACTGTCATATGACTGTGACAAATATTCAAGAAAAACTTTTTCCGTGTAGTCTTGCAAAAATGCAAAGGACTTCCAAGGTTTGTCAAGAACAGGACAAGAGAACTTCAGTGGTAATGATGACTAGAAGGATTGGTTGTGCTTCCCCTAATCATCTAAAGCGGCCAGAAAGAATCAATTTTGCAAACAACAGTTTAACCATAAAAGACAGACACTTGTCAGAGGCACAAGAGAGAGAATTTTGTATGAAGTTAACTGATATTATTTAGGGAAGAATACTTACGTATCAGAAGCAGCAGAAAGTTTTAGCAGATTATCCATTTCGACCTGTTGAAGATAAAGAAAAGTTACGCACGATAGGGAATAAGTTTAACACCAATGATTAAAATAAGAATTTTTTTTTTAAAAAAAAAAGTGCAATTTAAGGCACAACACATACGTCTGGCAAATCATCTCCAATCAATTTCCAGCGCTGCTTTTTGAGGTTCAGGTTTTCTTCATCCCCATCAGCATACAACACCTGTGCAAGAAGTCAAACAGAAAACACATGCTAAGAAAATTATGAAAGGAACCGTAACTGTCAGGCTAGATGACCAAGGAGATCATGTCTAGAACTCAAGGACTCTAGTAGTAGAAGATCTTCGATCTAACATTTCATATTTGTGATACACAAAAAGAGACAGACAATATATCATGAAGACCAAAGACCATAAATCCAACTCACCAAGTGTTTCTTTTTGGCAGGGTCGTAAGAAGAAACAACACCTTCATAAAACCTGCAGAGAGAAATTTCATGCAAGAAAATAATCATTTGGGGCTTAAAACTCCAGCGTCAGACTTAGTGGGGCCATATAAAAAAGCATTGAAAACTCGCATGAAGAATAAAGCATTAACTCAAGAGGGATTTGACTCTTCCGGCAGTTTGGGAAGCCAAAAATTTCACCCATGGGGTATGTACTGAAGATCATAAGCGGAAACAAAATAACACATGAAAACCTCCTGCAAGTCATGGTCAAGTTACTGACTTATTGCATTGGGTCAAGAAACAGAGACATAGTTTCCTCAGCAAACAATACAAATCCTAAATTCAGTGCCAAAGAATCACATTCACCATTTTTTGAACCCCAAAACGTCCTGTTCTATGACATATACTATATCAACCTTCTCTGTTATACCAGATAGACCTGACCCAGGATGAAGAAATAAAACCCATTTACAATAATTTTCAGTATTAACAAATCCTAAATTAACATTGAAATATAATTTGCAATCCCTTTTCTCATTTCTGAAGAAACCAACAAACTCAATTCAAGCATTGCCTCATAATCCATCGCTGGTTTATATACCGCATTTTCAAGCCTACATGTCCATAATTTCACTAAAATGTAATATACCACCCAATTGCTTTTCACTTTATTATTCCCAGACTGGGTTTTGCATCTTATAAGGAGTTCACATCAATTTTTAACATATGTTAACTGTAAAATCATCTCGTATGAAAATTTAAAGCTGAGCCCTCACAAGGTTTTGCAAAACCCTAACCAGATTCTGTACAAAACTACAAACAAAATGGTGAGTTCCCTCTTGAGCTAGTGCCCTTAGGACTTGGGAACATTATCAAATAACATTTTGCTATAATAAAAAGGCTCCATGACTTTCAGTGGATTCGAGTGGCACAAGTCTAATATCCACAAGTATATTCATCAGTGTCCACTCGAATCCACAGAAAGTCATGGAAAATGTTATTTGATAATGTTTCAGAGTCCTATAGGCACTAGTGATCAATAAAACCTAGCAAAAATAGATCATGAACCCCACTGACAGTGTAAGGTGAAAGCAAATATTGACTAACTACAAATATATCTTAGAATGTCATTTTTATCCTCAGTTCTGCAATACTCACTTTTTGTCCTGTGGCCACCAAACCTTTATTCTTCTGTCAACCAACCGTTCACCGAGATCAGGCATTTGAGAGGCCTAAATTGGAAAAGTTGAATTTACAAAAGCAAAAAATTATTAAATATACCAATAAATGAATAGATAAAAGAGGATGTGTGAGCTTAGAAGTTAGATCAAACCGAAATTTTTTACCTGGAAGCATGTTTTTAAAACAATACATTCAAATTAGTAAGGATATGTAATAGCTGACAGAAAATACCTGCCTACCATGCTTGACTAAATACACCAGGGGGAAAATGAACATTTGGTATTCAGGAAAGCATTACCAAACTTAGTTTAAGAGTGAATGAAGTAAGAGACATTTATTTCTGTCTTTTGGTTGCATTAGCCCACCCCAAGGGCTTAAACAAGCACATAGTGATTGTGCATTTTCACGATAATGGGAAGGTGATTATTCCCATATAGAAGGACACAATACTTTAACCACTTCGTAACATAAAATAACAATAAAGATGACAGACTTGTTTGTGTTTTTTCACCTATAGTGCTGACAGATTAGTAAAAGGATAAACTTATTGAAAAGACTGTAACAAATCATGCGAAAAGAGATGTAAGCTAATAACTATCGGCACAAAAATAACAGCAGAAAGCATGTATAAGCATAGAGGTTTTCCACAAATGAACACCACGGTTCCAAATCCAAAGCGCTCTCCTTAATATCTTCTCTGGATAGAACTTACATTAGTGTAACTATAAAGAGAGATACATGTTAACTTTGGAGGATTCCCAAGTTCAAGTACACCATAGTCCCAAATCCAATGTGAGCTCCTTAAGACATTAAATTTCCAGTTGAAAGTTGAAACCCACAGAGACTACCCATACCTCACTGTCTCTGCTCTATTAATTAAGGCCCGTTAACGAAGTAAGAAATGAGGAAAAATATTATAAGATGCAACACCTTACTAAAATGCGTTGGTCTTGTTACTAGTTTAATACTTTCCTTATCATCAGTGAAAAGAAAACATGGATTATCAATATTAATGCCACTACTTAACTCAAATACACCAGATTTCAGAACTTTACTGTTGGACTGAATATTCTGACAAACAAAGGCCAAACTGAACAAAATCAGCATTTTATTTTTCATATCTTCCGACAAAAAGCAGAGGCATGGAAAGAGATATTGAGAACCTTTTACATATTAGTCACTGAAATTTTACTCAGGTTATATCATGTGTAATCCAATAACAGTGTTAATAATATTGTTCGTTTCAACTGCTTCATCTACAAGATGATGCTAATAGGGCCAATTAAAATAATACAGTTGGGGCCAACACAGTATACAGCCAACCTAATGTTGTTCATATTTAGTGCTTTACATGTAGGTAAACAATATGCTCTACACTTTTTAATTAATATTACTCAAAAAATGGTCCAAAGTGACAAAGGACAATGCTTGAGTTGAATAACCACAAATAAAAATAGAAACAATATCAAAGGTAAACATTTTGTTCAAAAGAGAAAATTGCAAGAAGTTAAGAATCGTTACCTCTTCCTTTTCAATGATACGCTTCCTCTTGAGAACCACTTTAGAGGTTCCTTCATTATCTTCATTCGTTTTTTTCGCAGACTCAAAAATCTTTTGCAGAAGTGGACAATTTCATATGGGAGACCCGGCCATATAATAGAAGAAAATTAAAAGTCAGGTGACAACTTAAAATTTCAATATCTATTTATTTTTGCATCATTGTCAGAGAAAGTACCTTGCTACCAGATGCTTCAGTACTCTCCATTCGAGAAGCACCATTCCGCCTACTTTTCTTAATACCATGACGGAGAGATGATGGATCAGTGGTACTCTTCGTTTCTACATCCAAAGACAACTGTTTTTGTGATGCTTTATCAGGATCAGTAGGAACTTCAGATTCCTTATCTGTGACCACATTTACTGAAGAACGAATGCAGCCCTCATTTGATTTTTCAGCAAGTCTAATATCTCTAAGCTGCTCCCGTAGTCTTTCTCCTGTGTTAACAGTCCCCTTATACTTCTTTCTCAGCTTGGGCTTTTCTTCTTTAGGAGTCCTCTCCTCAATTTGAGCAATTGAGAGCTCTTGCTTCACAGCTGAAAGGGAACTAGGCTTAGCAGCATGGTCTGCTACATCTTTCTTCTTCGGCCGGCCCTTTATGTGTTGGGATCCACCAAGAGGGTTCTTCGGAAGAAATGGAGAAGCTCGTATATCCCTTTCAATTTTAGGTTTGGAACCCAGGGGCTCCCTCACATTTTTAAGCATCAAGGGTACTTCAGCCTTTGCACGAAGACGATCATTTGTAGGTGAAGGATTAGACACCTTGTAATCAGACTTACTGCTGGCAGATGGTTTTTGAGTTTTTCTCCCACTACTAATCCAAGAATGGTCGTAGCCTTCTGCTGGGTTCATTAAAGAATTTGGCTTCCTGCCTCTCTTTTTGGAGGCCGAGGATGGCTCTTCTGATTTAACAGCGTTCAGAGAGAGTGAATTGTTGGGTTGAGCATTGTCATATCCTTCTTCTGAACCCTTCAAAGAATTTGATTTCTGGCCTCTCTTCTTGGGAACCGAGCATGGCTCAGTTGCTGATTTGATAGTTTTTGAAGAGTAGTTGTCTGGTTTAGCACTATCTCTTGAATCAATAACCTTGGAGGGTTTAGTATGATGGCAATGCTGTAATCCTGCAGTAGAATTTTTATGCCTGATATGTTCATCCCCAGTAGAAGCAGCTACAGTATGTTCAACTTCTCTGGGACAAACAGCAATTGCCTTAGGCCCCTCGGTCACCTGGATAATGAAGAAGGCTTTTTATTGATGAGTATAAGTTTCAAATGAAAAAGAAAAAAGAAAGGAAAACAAAAAGGAGAGGAATGGACATAACAGTAAATATACATGAACAAATCATTCAGTGCTTCCTAATTCCCATACAAACATACAAGCACACAGACTTATGTCATAAGCCAGATCATACAAACTTTCCTCGCACTAACTTTTCCTGACATATCATGTAATATAAGCAAAGCAGTGCTAGTCCAATTTCTCTAACAATCTCTACATAGAAAGTAGCATAACAGTAAATATACATGCACATCATGTCTGACAATATCACCAGTTTGGCTTACCAAAGTCTTCACAGAATCATTAACATGATCATGTTTGACAGCTTGACATCCATTTTGGCATACAGAAGCCACTATTTGCGCGTAATCATCCAAAGCAGTGTCCATGGACTTCACTGCTTCCACGAGATAAGGTTTAAGCTTAGCTGAAGAATTGTCTATAACCTTCTTCCCCAATTTCCATGAAAAAGGTGAAACAGTCTGAAAAAGTAACAGGCATCTTAAGTGAAGAAACAGAATGATTTATAACAACTTAATAATAAAAATACATAAAAAAGAACAGAACAAAAAAAAAAAGATGTAAAGGAGAAGATTATGACCTGATTTTCCTTTCTAACACTGGATAGAAGAGCTTTGACAAGATCCACGGGAATTTCTTCACTTTCATCTAAAACCATGGTCATAATAGTTTCCATGGCTGAAAATACAGAATGTGGATGATTGGACCTTAACATTAATCAAGTAGAAGCCATAAGTTGTAAATCATTTGAAAGAAATACATGAACTACTGTATTTGAGATAGAAGACAAAGCTTCAAGTTGTCATTAAAATCAAAACACACCACACACATAGAGATTGTCTATTTTATAACTTACTGTTTATATGAATAGTTTTACAGAAAATAAATAGGAAAACTAATGAAAAGTCCAAAAAAACTTCCCTTTTAATGAAAAGCCATTTTTAAAGGTATAGTGAATAGTACCAGAGAAATGTATAAATGTGGTTTTTCGTTAAAAGTGAATAATACCGGGAGTGTTATGTTAAAACTCCCAAAATAAATAGCATGAACACCACAGATGCAATGATTGTCTATTTTATAACTCCATACACCTCTGTCATTAGAAGTAAACAAAGAAGACCCTGTTTCTTTCCTCCACAATCATGTCTTCTGAGAAAAGATTCAATTGAGAATGCTCAGCATAGTTATTTTAAAGGAAAACTAATGAAAAGGGTTTGAAAACTTTGAGTTTTAACGATAAGGACAAAATAAAGGGTAAAGTGAATAGTACCAGGATTGACTTTTTAGTGTAAAAATGTGGTTTTTCGTTAAAACTCCCTTATTTTAACTCTTCCCTTTCACTTCAAAAATTTGGGGTAGATTCCATCTGTTTTGGTGGTGACAGTTTGGCCTAAAACTGCTAATCTTTGCTAGGTTTGGGTTGAGGGACACAAGAAGGCTATGGAACAAAGTTCAGTTTGGGCTCTTTGGGCTTCTGTCTCTAATGATTTTAGGCTTATTTCTTTCTCTTATATTTGGTGGGACTGGAAGTTTGTGGTGCTGTAGTCCTTTTAGACTGTTTGGATTTTTAAGCTCGTTCTGTTTCTCTCCTGCTTTCTTTTCTTTAGTGGTCTTCTAGACCACTTTCTTTTACCCTTTGTTTTTTAGTCAAATGAGAGTAAAAGTTCAAAATGGATCTTTGAGAGCAGAAAGTATCTACAAGAGAAACTGTGAAGATGATGATCTGATGAGTGAAATTGTCTAAATTCATTACACAAATGAAACTATGAATAAATTTTCCAGTTGAATGTTTTTTTTCTTATTCCCTCTTCTTGGAGTGCAGATAGGGAATCCTACAAATATCTGGCTCAAGATCAGTGCAGACCATACAATCTGAAGAAACTCATCAATAATTTCTAGGTGCATAAAACATACAGTTTTACTCTCGCTAACCATGATTAGCGAACAGTGGTTTGAAGGAAAACATGCCCAGTATTAACGTGAAAATTCTGCCCCACTTCAGAATAGCATGCTCTTGATACAAACAATAAAAGACAAGAAAACTCTAGGAATCAACTTGAAATAACAAAAATAAAAAAACCCTACTATTCCATGCAAACAATTGCCTAACTATTGATAAGAAGTGGAGCAGTACAGTTTTTCTCATGCCATTCACAATATATAAATATGTGACAAGAAAATTCCTATGCTTCCATATCAACATACCAGATAATATTACAGAAGTTTCTGGTAGTTTTATATATCTAATATTACATATATTAAAGCTCGTTATATGAGAGAAAACTTCACTTACCAAAAATGAAAGTTTACAACAAATTTCATTTTTCAATTCAACCACAAATCACATTCCAGCAAAGCATCATCAGAAGTCAATAAGTAACATCACAAACAGCATGAATAAAGCTCTTACTGGGTTATATTAAGGAAATGTTGAAACATCTCAAGAATTAATGCACTGCAACCAAGGTCCAGCATCAGCAAGCTTGACCTGACCTTTGCCACAATATGAAGAATGGAAACTGCCTTTCTATAAAAGGGACTGGAAACATATGACAGTTTCTCAAAAGCTGCTACAGTCAGCTGAAAGATTTCCTGTTCAACCAATAAATGGAAAATGAAGTCCTAAGAGTCCATAAAATTAAAATATATGCATTGGAGGATGCAAGATGTAGAACTTCAAAATGATTAACGATAACTTTAGATCGTGGACAGTTTACTAGAGCAATAATACCTTCATCCATTCATCATTGTATGGAGGAACGGGTGCTGTTATTCTCGTAAGCTCAGTAATGCAAGAAGCAACATATAGCTTCACATCCATATCTGAGTGCCTAAACAGCTCATCAGAAATTAATGCCTTCATTATCGGTAGGAGTGCATCTTGCATGGACCTGTGTGGTGCTTGCTGAACATTTGACAACAAACCCTCAGCTTCCTAAAATACAAAAAGAAACAGAGGATCTCAGGTTTTCGCAATCTGAAAAGCCATAAAGAAAGAACAAAAAATTATGAGATAGGTATAATGAACTAAGCAACTATATGAGAACAAATCATAAATACATTTACGCATATCATCAAGACAGAACAATTAACTACTGCATATGTAATTATCTAGTAACATCTGTGAAAGAGCAAGGTGGACTAGAGATGGTTGAAGCACCACAAGAATCAGTAATATCACTATAGTAAAGTTCTTAGGTACGAGCCGTTAACCATGTAAAGCAGCCACTTCCATCTTCCAGTTCTCACTGGCTAAATCTTCTAGAGAAGATAGGCTTCCAAGACATAAGTCATATGTGAGCAATATGATTTAATGCAGACAGAATACTAAAGAGTAATAAACCAACTGAATGGCATCGAAGATCAACTTTATCTAATTTAAGAAAATGATAGTACCAAGCCTTACTTGTCAGAAGTAGAGGAAAAGTGTTTATCAAGTTCAAAACAGGCTAAACCCTTCTCACATGCAAGCCAGTCCAAGAAGGGCAGCCTACTGTGACTCATTCTAGGGAGACTGTTTTCACAACTTGAACCCGACAACCACTAGGTTGCTTGGGCAAGCCAAATTGCTGCTCTAAAATAAGCACTCAATGAAGGTGAGTCTAATAACCCAAAATATGTAGGGCCTTGTGAAACTAAAGAGACTAAAAAGAAAAACCACAGATAATCATGTTTAAGACCAGACGAACAAACAGGCTCTAACAATGAGGAAAGATCATCAATAAGTTTAAACCTTTGGAAATGTACCATCATCAAGTAAACAAACATGTCTTTGCAATTGGACCAATCAATATCTAAGTATGATTGTATTTAGGCATCATGCAGATTATCAAATCTGAACAGAAATGCTGAGGAGCTACTTATTGGAAGTGTATAGAACTCATCAATTTACTTATTATGAATTTGCGTAAGGTCATAGAAGGTTAAGCAACCTACACCCGCACGCATGCACGCACACGCAACATCTTTTAACAAGCAACAGTTCACATTCATTATCTTTTGATAAGCAACAATGTGAATCAAATATTCAAAAATGAAAAATCATAGGCAACAAGAAATTGGGAAATAAAAGTCATCTGTTCACTCAAAACACAATAGTGACTGGAGCACGCAAACAAACATCAACAAGAAACCGAAACCACATTAAAAGGCCAATTTTTTGGTAAAAATTGGGCAAAAATAAGCCCCCATTTAAGCCCGACTCTAAAGAATTCAGAAAATTATGATCAACCCATCTCAAGCCATCACTCATTTGTATTCTAATGTTTTCAATTAGCCCGAAAGAAACCCAAATACACACACAGAAACCTATAAAACACCAACAGTCGGTAATTCAACAAAATGATGAACAACCCGCTTCAGCATTCCCGTGAATTCATCAAACCCAACAAAGAAAATTAGCTCAGTAAACATGTATATGAACATATCTGTGTATCTATCTGTGTGTGTTGTATAAGCAATAAAATAAAACAGAGAGAGAGGGTATAGGGGGCATTACACCAAGGATTTTGAGAAGCTCCTCGGTAGCAGGAGGAGGGTTGAGGAGAATATTTCCAGCCTCCTTGAGCTGCTCCTCCAGCTCTTTCTCAGAGGAACAAGACATTTCAACAACAACCCAGAAAACAAAGCAGCCAAGTTTTAGGGATTTAAGCCCAAGTGTTGGGCACGCTACTCTCTCTCTCTCTCTCCCTCTACAGTTACTGTACTGGGTTTTTTCGGTTATGCCTCGCACGCCATCAAAATCCCATCTTTTGTGCACATTGGCGCTTTCGTTCTTGAGCGCTGGCCTAAAATTAAGAGAAATGATTTTGATACGGCTTTTTTAAGCCTCTTATACATTTTTGTTTTTTTTAACGGTCAATTTTGTTTGATTTATTCAATGAGATAGATATTAATAAAAATAGTGGGTGAGAAGAGGTGTGAAAATTAATTTTCAAAAATAAAATATTGGCATTTTGGTTAAATTACAAGTTTGCCCTTGTGATATTTGAATTTGGAGGGTAATGGTATGATTTTGATGGTATTGTATTGGCTAATAAAGTCATTGTAGCACCAATTTTAGGTGAAATAAGTTACATGCCATATGTTCTTAGATATGGTCATTAAAAACTGTATCCTGGTTGGAGGCATAGAATTAGGACAAGTTTGATGAATTTTCTATATAGAAAAATTAAATTTACTCAACTAGTTAATTCAAATAATTATTTCCTCCAACTAAGTAATCTAATTAATTAGTTCGTAATACCTTTATTCAAGAGTATGGTCAGCGATCAATTAGTAACCACATCAATAAGAGATAAAATTTATCGTTTAGCCAAAAAAAAGTAACCGTATCGAAAAAGAGACAGTGAGATGACTCAGACTCTTTTAATTGTTTTAATGGATTTAAACCCCTATTTAGGGACTCTAAATGAGTAACATTTTAAAGGAACCGGATCCTCTCCAGACCTAACAAATCTAAGCCTAAGAATCAAATGATCCGGGCCGTTGAAATTTGATCAAACGGCTACAATTATAATAACTTTTAAAGAGATCTTCCATTTGTAACCGTTAAATCAAATTTCAACGACTCGGATTATTTGGTCATTAGGCTCAGATTTATTGGGTCTGAAAGGGATCCAGGTCCCATTTTAAATCTACAAAAAATAAAATAAAATCTTGTCATGTCATGTCAGCTATCACACAGCAAACATCATTTCAGATCAAAAATTAAAAAGCATATCAATTCCCCTTAACTTTTAAGAATGACAAAACTATGTAAGTTGACCACAATGTAGTGGACAGTGGAGTGGGAACTTTACTAGGATATACATATTATTATTTTCCAAAAATATAGTAAGGCAAAATAAAACCAATACGGTCAATGAAATATTTGAACCCATATTATTATTTTTTACACTCAACTTACTCTTTACACTTATATTGTATTTACGCTTAGTCCACTCTTCTATTCTCTTAGCGTAGATAATATCGTTTGTTCAAAAAAATATGTAAATTTATTTTTACACCCAATTTAAAAAACCAAAATCTAAACCCTAATTGGTCACAAAGTCGAAGCAGAGAAAAACGTTGAATGGCGCTAATCAAGGCCTTGGATTTGTTCATTGTTTTCAAAATAGAACAACTGCGGCTGCGCCTCAAATTGTGGTGGAAGGCAGCAAGAAAACCTTAGAATGTGAATTTGGCTTGCTTGAAGTAGAAATGGGTGAATTTAAACCAAAATATTCATTAGAAATTCCATGGGATCCCTAGTTGCATATCATAAGTGTTTGGGAAAATTATTACGAGGAAATTATCGTATAATTTTAAGAAACACGTGAACAATTAGATTGAGACACAAGTGTTTCGTTTTTTTTTTTTAGAGAGATTCAAGCCTCCTACGGTTTGACAAAGTCCAGCAACTGATGCAACACTGTATCCCTCAACTTCCCCTCCAAGATATATTAGCCCAACAGAATTGTTGTGTGACTCGAATCTACCTACACAAGAAGAAGATGGAGAAAATGGAAAAGATGATGGAGAATACCCTCCTTTGATGCAGGAGAGCTCTAAAACTTCAAGGTCGCCATCTATTCGTCAAAAAGAGCGTGTTTTTCTCTATGAAAGCGTATTAAGGTTTCGTTATTATAGGAGAAGGCAGACAGAATAAGGGTTTTAGCCAGAACAGAACGTAATTGTTTTCACACGTCAACAGTTGAGTTAACCTATCTTGAACGGATGCTTCAAAGTCTACAAAACAAACAGCCAAACCATGCTTTTATATGCAAATGCAACCCAATCCGTGAGTCGAATAATCGAAAAAAAGTGCAAGCAATGAGAAGTACCAAAGTTGTGCCAAAAATTGTACATGAAGATGCAGTATCAGACACAGACAAGGTTAAGAAAGAAACCAACTTTCTCATCATGTTCTCTTTTTCCTGTTATTTTCTCTTCAGAAAGTATCCTGTCCATTATCCACACCTAAACCATACAAGACACCAGCATACTTCTCCATCGAACCGCTAAAGAAACTCTCCTTCAGTTTTCTGAACGTACAGGACGTGAGCAAACTATCCGAACCTGCCTGGTGACAAATGCCAACTCTCTCCACTTCCAACAGTTCCGCAAGCTTGTTCAACCCGCCATGGAGGCTATTGCAAAACTTCATCAGATGCTTGATATCGTATATTTTCGGAAAGTATATGTTGATCAAATTAAAGAACCCTGCTTGAGTTTGGGGCGAGTTCTGGCAGGTCAAAAGCTTTAGCAAGTAACCAAAATCATAGCCGCTATGGAAGGTGACCCAATGCACGTTATCATTCAACACAATCCCAGACGACATTAGGAGCTCCCCAAACCGCTTTGCATCAATACCCTTTTCGTTGTTCTTCTTAAAATCGATGCCGCTTTGGCGCAGAAGCTCAATAGAATCACTGGAGAATACATCCTCATTGAGATTGAACTCGCGAAAATTGAACTGCCAAATGCATTGTTTATCAGTTCCACAAGAGGGGAAATTCCCTTGCTCATCGGAAAACGTGAGGCCGAGTTGAATCAGCTTGAGCATATCCACGTTGTCCTTCAAGGTCTGGTAATGGTAGTCGTAACCGTTCTTGAAATTGCCCACCGGACGAATAACAATGCCCGGAAACTCGGTGTCCATGGCGACATACGGATAATCATCGACAATTTTGCGTATCAAAGCAAATTCCTCCTCCAGATTGTCGTTCCACACCTCACGAATATGAATCGAATCGATTTTCGGTAAGAGCGGCATTCCTCTGTAAAAACTAAAAACCCACCAAGAATTTCGACTACGGCCGCGAGATTTGAAAACCCCAAGTGACAAATTCAATCAAAAACGCACGTAGCGGATCCAATTGAATCCACTAGATTTACATAAACCCCAATCAATTCTGCTACAAAAAACAATTAAAAACGATACGAACCCATCAAAAATCATTCAACAAAACTCCAAGCTTTTGATTAATTGATCGAAATATGCATTAGATTATATATAAACACACAAAAAATAAGAACCAACCTCGAATCAAAGGAACGTCAACATGGCATCACAAATCCGACGGTGGGTAGGACTGAGAACTTGCGGGCTCAAAAAAGAAGGAAGCCAGAAAGCGAGGTTTCTAGAGAGAGAGAAACAGAGGGATATGGTGAGAGAGAAGATGTGCTTCCAGATTTTTTTGTTTTGGTTGTGTTTTTGGTTTGTTCTTGGCTTCTTGCGCCGAACGAGAGGCAGAGAAAGAGAAGAAGAAAGAACAAACAGAGATAATAAATACAAAAGCGATAATATAAATTTTTTTTTTTTTAAAAGACAAAGGATTTTTATTTGGCACATTTAAGATTGTGTATGCTACCACCGTAATAGTATATTTGGCACATTTAAGCATGTCTCGTGGCAAGTACTAAAAGTAAGCATGACGTTATGTGCCATGAAAGTTTTTGTCTAATGGAAAGGAAAAGTGAACGGGAACGCATTAGATTAAAGATAATTACCAGTGTGTGATCCATCACTTGCATGTTTCTCGACATACTATCAATAAAAATAAATAAGAAATGAAACATCGGATAATCTTAGAATCTAAATAATTACTGATTTTTGAGAATTTTGACTTAGATAATTCTTAAAAGACAAGTTAAGAATTGAACGATTTCAATTATTAAATCACCTCTAAAATAAGGTTTTAAAAGATGTTATGCACTTGTCAGGGCAATGGGCTGGGATCTAGCACCTGGGTGGCTAGGCGAGGGCCGGACCAGACAAATTTATGTAAATTTATTATATATTATATAACTAAGTACTTATTTATTGTTAAAAACACATATAATTGTATTGGAATACATAAATTGCAAAATAAAATGACATAAATTATAAAGTATTAGAACATATTGAAAATATGAGAAACAGGCATATAATGAGTGTTCATCTAAGTATTCAACAAGTCACTTAAATATTATTGAAAAATTGAAATGCAAAATGAAAGTTAAAATTTTTTTGTCAAAGTGAAAATCACAACCTAAGTGCATGCCTAGGCGGGCTAAGCAAACGCCTAAGTGGATCTAGACGCATTTTCTTAATTTTCAAATGCCTAAGGACTAACCGGAACGGTGGTCAGTCGCCTAACGCCTAGGCTCCAAACCTAGGCAAAGATTTTTAGAACAATGCTCCATACTCCTCCATTTAAAAAATACAAGTATCATTCAACCGAGCTTTGGGTTGGATCAGAAATCAAAATAGCTACATGCACCACATTTGCATCCAACTTTGCTCCAAAATATTTTTCTGATTGGAAACAGAATTTTCGCGCCGGAATCAGAATCTCCAATCCAACAACATCAAATAATAATTATTTTGTCCAGGAGGTACTCTCTTGGCATTCATAATTCAAAAGTAGTAGAGTAGTCAATAGAGTAGTCAATAGAGTCGTCAATAGAGGTTCACAAGTACTACAGTAGATGCAACTAGACAAAGTAGAATCCCTACGAAACATGATTTCCCTGCCATCCGATCCAACCGCTGGTTGTAGATTTACCATCGACCCTCGCTGCTCTGGATTTCCTCTTCTGCCCTCTTGCTACCAGGCCTGCCACACCACACCTCACATTGTATGAGAAACAAATCTTTACAATGGTTGGAAGAATGGTTTTGTTTCCAACAGTTGATTCCATACACAAATGTGTTACCCGAATCCTCGAGATTCAAGTCATTTAAACGCAATTGAGTGTTTGCAACAACAATATGCTGAGGTTGAATTCGTACAAGATGCATAGAGATACAAAATATGAACAGAAGAAAATCAT